ACAGCACCATACATGCTGCTACAACAAAAATTAACTCTATCCCAGCCAGACCCAGTACACTCTCACTTGGGTGCTGGTGGAAAGAGACACCATGAGGTTACACAGACATGTGGGATGTAATTTCACCTCTTCTTCTTATGGATGACTATCCTCTCCAGACTTTCCAGAAAACCACAGGTTCCCAACCGCACAGTTTGTAGTGTGGGACTTTCTCTGATCATCTCAATCTTGCTCACTATGTTCCCCAGACACGGAAGAAACTACTGGCAGTTGCTTCTGCTGTCCAGTGTAACTGGGCACAAAAGTATTCCACAAATGCTTTTCTCTCAGAGATAATCTTGGCCCGGCACAGGGAGCAAAGATGGAGAGGCTGCACAGAGAAGCTATTCCCTACATGAGTGTTATTCATGGCTGGAAAAAGATGTCCCTACTTCTGGAAAACTCCTTTATTCCAGAAGCATCATGTTCATGCCAGTGAAATACCCTCAGTGATCCACCACAAGCTGCTTAACCTTTTAACTCAGAAAAATAATGTCTTCTAACTCTGTATTCAGAGGCAAGGTCGGCACAGCCAGAATCTGGATACATATCCTGCCTGACACTCCCTCAGAACTTGAGAAACTCCTCGTTTTCAATCCACCTGTGTTGTTTTTGGCATGCTGCTCAACGAAAACCCTTCACAGCAGGATGTGCTGTGACGGCTTTGCACAGCTTTATGAGGACTGCCCGTTTTTTGAAGTCACCAGCCCTCTGGCTGACTGCAGACTGCTTTAGCAGGCATCACGGCCTGCTTTTCCGCTCATCCTGGAGCCCCTGCACCAAAAGGCCGGGGTGAGCTGCGCTCGTGGCCGCGACCTCTCTGACCGAGCGGCCCCTGGAGCGGCTGCCGCTGCTGTTTCTCGGTCTCGGTTGTAGCATAAAGCCGCCCACAGACCCCTAGGCCCTGTTCATGGACGCCGGCGACAGGCCGCGGTTCTTACTCCCTCTTTGCCTTAGTCACACCTCAGGCGCGGTGGGAACGGTCACTTCGGCTGCCCTGCCTGGCGCTAACGCGGTATCAGTTCTTTAAAATGCTACCTACACGGAATTAAATGCATATACAGGCTCAGGCATCCGTGTATTTCACAGGAAAATTACGGGCTGTAAAAATTCCCTGCCCAAGCAGAGGCCCGTCGCCATGCAGGCGCGCAGCCAACGATCAGAAGAACACAGCGCCGAAGCTGCGGGGGGCGAGGGGGGCACCGGGCAGCGCAGGGTGCTGCTCCGCAGCCCCTCACCGCCAAAACGCCGGGGGCACCGCGGAGGCCCCCA